GTACTGTATGTGAAACCTGATACATCATGCTTTGCCACGTTTGCACTTTTATGATACAACATAAAATGTGTATATAAAACAATACTCTTTGCATAGCCATATACATCAAAGTTTATCCTCAACTTCAGGGTTGTAGCCACCACAGGTAATATTTAGATCAGAGGTTGATCAATTAAGGTATATTTATCAATATATTTTTCTTAATATTTTGAAAACTTTGGAACCCCAATTTATTGCTATTATTGGACAAACTTTTTTTCTGGTAACCTAAAAAGTATTGTAAATTAACAGTTTTTATTCAAGTCAAAAATATTAACCAAACTGCATACAATTATACAAATCAACAAAATACATGTTTAAAGGTTAAATTATTTATAAAAAGTGGTTAAATTGTTAATTAAACAATGAAATGTCTTTATTTTATAAATCTTTTTAAAATAAAAATCCCATTTTTTTTATTATTTAAAAAAAGCAGGTTGATAGATCCTTAAGTTATTTTACAGTGCAAAAAAGTATTTCACAAAAGTAAGTTCTGTATCTATGTGTTGTGTGTTTTATGTGTGGTCATTTTGTGCACAGTACAGTACACTAATATTTAGAAAATAATATCTAAATGACAGCCCCTATCCCCTAAAGACCTTTTTGTAGGTGTGTTTTTGTGTGTTAAACTCCTGCCTTCTGCCCAAAATGCCTGTCATCTGCTTTCCCGTGTCTAATGCTATGCCTTCCATCCTGATGCCTCTCTTGAGCATCCCTTTAAATGGTCCTGTAGGCTTTCTTACACAAGCGCAATTCATATCACAGCTAAGCATAGCACATTAACCCCTGCTATAATTGTGAATTCAGCTAAGAAATAATATTTACTACAGCCATTAGCGTGCGGGAATGTAAGAGCTGTGATTTTAAGCCACAATGTTGGTTTTGTATACAACTTTCAAGCGAATGTTAAAGGCTTTAGTAAATCCATCCCATTCAAGCAGAATTGTTAAATGCCCCCATTGCATCGCTTCAAGGGCACAATAACCAGCAGCACATTCTACTTAGTAGAGTTATTGTTTTAGCATTATTGTCCTGAGCTGTGCATTTGTATCCACAAAAATTGCCACTTATAATATACTGTTATTTATGCATAAAGTATGAATGCTTATTAATGAAATCCTGTACTTTCCCTGACCGCTGACCCATGTCTCGTATGCATTTACAGGAGAAGACCAGTGCTCTCAGCCTGAGCAATGTGGCTGGGGTCTTCTACATCCTAGTGGGCGGCCTGGGCTTGGCCATGCTGGTGGCCTTGGTCGAGTTCTGTTACAAGTCCCGAGCCGAGGCCAAGCGCATGAAGGTGGCAAAGAATGCACAGAATATTAATCCCACTTCCTCGCAGAATTCACAGAATTTTGCCACTTATAAGGAAGGGTACAACGTATATGGGATCGAAAGTGTAAAAATTTAAGGGGGTAGGATACGCGGCCGTCATTCCAGTCTGTCCCAGTGCACGCTTCTTTTGGCTTCCATCTGTTCCATTCCCTGAATGTTCTATTGAATGAGGAGATTTGGACTGTAAGCTGGATCGTATGTACTGGTGTTCCTGGTGGAAAAAAAACTTCCTCTCAGTCCACTGCACATATATTGGAGAGAAAAGTTTTTTGTACATCTCGTGTGATTTTGTTCTGTCAAGCTCATTGTCATGTATGACTGTTGTTGAATCTCCCATCTCTATGGAAGCTTATTTTTGCCACAGAATGTTTTTTTTTTTTAAAGGTAATTGTGACTATTTATCTCACAATTCTGACTTTTTTTCTGGCAATTCTGAGTTTATATGTCAGAAGTCAGAATTGCGAGAAAAATATAAGAATTTGCGAGATGTTAAGACCTAGAAAAAAAGAAAAGTCTGAAGTGTGAGAATTGATTACAAGCTTTTTCGGGGGG